AAAAGTAATTGCGGGCACCGGGTTGACAAAAAATGATAAAATTTAATGAATGTTACTATCGTACAAAATCATGTATAGAGTAAACCATGTAAAAATGGATCATCATGCACTTATCATAATAACTAACTATTTGATAAGCATTTCTTCAATCCATTTTTTAAAACTATTTCACTGAATAGAGTTAAAACTCAAATAAGACAAAATTTTAGGCAGTTTTTGTTACATGAGAGTAACCTTGCCATTAAAAACTTTTTTCCTGAATAAAAAATGCTCATCATACATTTTTTTGTATAGTGCTCAACATGCTTTTTAGTGAAAAGATATTCCAATCAAAGTTTGATGTTTTTTGTATAAATAGTGTAGTCAAAGCTGAGATTATGACAAAACGTCAAAATTTCTTGGCAATTGTTGCTTTTATAATAACATGAACATTTTTGAATGGTAAGATAAACCCAAATCTGTGAAAAAAAATCAAACTATACTTTTCTCAATCACTCAATTTTTTTAACCGTTTACAAAAAGTTATTTTTTATATGTTTCACGTGGAATACAAAGCTTTAAACTGCCGTGCAAAATATCAAAAACAGCTTATTGAAATCGTAACTAGCGCTTATATCTAAGTTATTTACATGTGCTTTCGGACAACACATCATTTCAAAACGAAACCCAGAAAAGTTTTTGATTTTTCTTTTATAGAAAAATTTGTCATACATTTTCATAGTAAAGATAACAGGCTTATCGTAAAATTTCAAAGCATGAAAACCGTTTATGCTAATTTTTTTGATGCTATTTATGCTATTTTCTGATGAGAAAATAGCAAGTTTTTGCATATATTTCCAGATTAGAGAAAATAGCTTGTCATAAAGTTTAATTTCATAGAAAAAACAATTGTTGCACTCTTACATTTTTTATTCATTATCTTGGTTATAAGGTTGATGACGTAACGCGAACTTGGCGATTTAAAAGTGGCGATTTATATCTCACACAAAATTATTCCTAAAGAAAATGAGGCAAACTAAACGTCATAATTAATTACTTTTGCCAAATCAAAGCGAATATTTGATTTTTGCAATCCATAATGTTATTTCAAAGACTTATTAATTTTTTATTGGAACAATTTTCAAGCAGGTTAAAATATCTAGTTAAAAAACCTGGTTGAAGACAAACTTAACTTTATTTCGTCGCAGTTTTTTGAAAACTAAAAGTAAACAAGAAAAACTGTTGCTGCATTCCCTATTAAAACTACCAAAAGGTAAACAGGAATCCTTTCTATCTAAGTTAAGCTGATGAACCTTTTCACATCTGAACGAAAAATTTCACTATATCGAACTACCTGAACTTCATATTCACATCAATTATGCTTCATTAAAACGCAAGATCACTTCAATCAATTTTTTCATGTTCTGTTAAGTTTCATTCAGTTTTTTTGCTGAATGCCATTACGAGGCCAAACTGTGCACTGGATAGGCGCACAATTTTGTGTCTGTAATTTCCTGGATTCCAGAGACAAGAATTTAAACATGTTCGAAAATGTAAGTGGATTCCGCAGAATGTAAGTGGAATCCGCAAATGTAAGTGGAATCCGCAAAAAATGTAAGCGGAATCCGCAAACTGTTAAGGAATTCAGCAATTTATTTATTACTGAACTTCCATATACACTTGCCGAATTTGAAAGCAAGGACTTTACTATTGTCAGCGGAATCCACGAACTAGTTTTAAAACATTGGTTAACTAAATCGATGGATGTCCCAATTTATTATTTGCAAGCAGTTTTTGGGATCATAGTTTTGGAAACAGAACACCGATTAAAATCATTGGGTTAATTCGGTAATTGTAATTTTTAACACAACGCCGGATTTTGTATTTGAGATTCAGTATTTAGGAGCGTGAATTCAAATCATTTTGTTCACAGGGAGTAAAAGATCTATTTAACTAATTTGAGTAAATTACATTAGATAAATATTACCATAACTGAATTACAGCATAATTAAATTTCAAATTCAAAAACACGAATATATAGTCCCGAAAATGTTGCCTAATCAAACTATGTTCTGGTTTCGTACTTTGAAAACATTTCAAAATGGCTAAATTAAAACATTTTTATTTTAATTGGCTGGCTTGAAGTGAACTGATGAATAAATTTACAGGAATTGAGATTGATGACAGGAATTGAGATCGAAGTTAACCTTTGTAGGAAGTAAGATTGAAGCTGGGTATGTTTGACCGGAATTGAGATGAGATCAAATTTAAACTTTGTAGGAAGTGAGATCAAAGCTGGGTGTTTGTCAGGAATTGAGATCGAACGATTGGCATTCCAACTGGTAGCTGATCAACGTAGCAATTAAAAAATATAAATTTAAACGCTACTACACATACATATATGAAAATGGATTCCGCAAACAATATGCGGAAGCCACGTACAGTTTGCGGATTCCACTTACAATTTGCGGATTCCACTTACAGTTTGCGGATTTCGCTTACAGTTGCGGATTCTGCAACAGCTCAATTCAACTATGCTTATGTCTAATTATTTGTTTATTGATTCCACAAACTGTTCTGGATTCCGCAAATACGGTTGCGGATTCCACAAATTCGCCTATTTTTGGAGAGCGATTTTGAACGGTACAGTGTTTTAGGTATTTGTTTGTAGAATCCAAAACAGCAAAAAAGATCAAAGAAATGAAGCACTGTTGCGGATTCTGCGACAAATCTGATTTCGGCCTGTTGCGGAATCCGCTTACAATGCACAGAATGCACAGTTTGGCCTCATAGTGGCTATAACATCAGATTTTCAAGGCATTAATTCAATTCTATTTTAAACTAGCTGTCAGTTAGTACAAAAAGGAAATAACTGCATCGAGTGCTTGCAAGGAATTAATTGCATCGGGTTTTTTAATTTGTCCTCTCTTCTTTTTCAGCATCTATGTAATTATCTGTTGTCAGACAGATTGGCTAAAAATTGAAAACTATTTTTCCCGTTTTCAAAAAACCTCAGATTAAGGTGGTTTTTTATTCAAGATTGGCGAATGAAGAAAAAAGAATTTTCTAACGCAATTTTGTTAGGATTGAAAGTATTAACTTTTTGTGTTTGAAAGTGAGTGACGGTTATTTTACTTGTATTTGTTTTTTTAAATCCTTAGTGTTTTGAAAATTCCAAATCGGCCGAAATCTGCCATAACTATAAAAAGTTTTTTTCTCTAATTTTTTTCAAGAAACTTACCAGACTCCATAAAAGTAAATTTGATTTTCAGAGCTGTAAAATAAGTACGAGCAGTCTTGTTTTTTTAAAAATGCTTTCTGATGTGGTTTTTTGCAATATTTGTCATAGTAAAGTTTTCAAATGGAATTATCAAACGTGCTAACACAAGTTTTCCCATCTTCAGCTGGATTTGTTTTTTGGATGAACTTTATAGATGAACAATTTTTAAATGCTTCGAAACTGAAGGTCATCTGAACAAAAAGCAATTTTTTTTCGGGGCAAAGACTTTAAGAGTTCCGATTATTGTTGAACTTCTAAGAAATAGTTAGTCCCCATTTGTAGAATATCCATAATTTTAGAAGAAAAGATAACTTATTTAAATTGCCACCAATCTTCAGGTAAATTCAATTTTTTAAATAAAAATTGTCATGATAAAAATCAAATCTGGACTCAAAAAATCCCATTGAGCACACATACTCGACGACTCTCCTTGAAATTGGAACAAATAAACACGATTTGCATGGGCCAATAAGCTACATACAGTCCAAATTTGCAAAATTCGCAAGTGAAAATTGATTCGCTAGTGGAGTATTGAGCATAAAATGCGCTTTATATTCGAAATATAATCAAAAAATTAAGCTTCAAAGCTTCAGATTCTTTGAAAAAAAAATGCAATAAGAATTGTATTAATTCAATCTCAAATTATTGGCGAAGTCACGTTCGTAAAACAGTTCGTCTCATAAACTTCTGTTCTGATAACCAAAACATGTGTGAGAAGAAATTAAGTTGACATTAATTAACTTCTGCTTGTTGAAAATCAGAGAAAAAAAGTTCATCCGTATATCCTATATCAATTGAGTATGTTCTTTTTGAAAAACTTTGCTTTTTAATATGTTCTTTTTTACTGAAGTCCTAATGCTTAATTAGCAGTAGCACATTTAGGGGGAGTCATCCTCTTTAAAGATATCCAGTTTTGGCCGACCTATTCTAATATTTTTAAAGATGTCTTTGGCGCCAGTAAATATAACCTTTTAGGGAGGAACGCGCTCCGAAAAAAAACGCAATTTTTTGTTCAAAATTTTTCAGAAATTTCTTTAAAACGATTTTCGCCTGATGTTTTTAAGAAAAAATTGCTTGTTGTGCGAAAAATTTGGCCCAAATAGAGTCTCCATGGTGAATTGGGAGAGCTCGGAAGCCAGTTTTTTGACCGAAATAAAAAGTTAGACAAAAGTTTTGAATTTTATTTTAAATTCTGGCCCCTCCCCCTCTCGCGACCATCCTAGATACTCCACAGCTTGATTGATCAAAAAACACAAAAAATCAAAAACTGATTGAATCATGCGAAGCCAAGAGTGCTTTGACCACTCTTTAACGTCGTTTTCAGTAGAAAAAAAATATTGGTTCAGTCAAACTTATTGGCTTGAATTGGTTTTCATTTTCAGGATTTTCTGAAGCTGAAAAACGTACGAAACCCCATTTATATTTAAATGGAAAACATGCATGGAAAATATACCACAATTTATGACTTTTGCCAACCAAAAACTTTGCCAAAATTTTGATTATTTTTGAAATGTGGGTTGTTTTTTGTAGACTAAATTCGGCAAAAAAAAAGAAACCAAAAGTTTTGAGAAACAAACATTCATCTGATTTCAGATTTTGCTACAAATCTAAAACATACTTCGAACTAATTTTTTATTTATAAATTAGACTACCGCCAAGTCGATGTCTCAAAATTGCTCTGTAAGTTTCAAGAACTGAGCTGTTGTAGAAACTTACATAACTTAAAATTGAGCTTGTTTAGATGTCGGAGTTGAAAGGTGAAAGGGGTCCGATGGGACTGATTGGACCAAAAGGCGACAAGGGGTTACCAGGAAAGGACGGCACAAATGTGAGTATTATTTGTTTTGACAACTTAAAAGAATAGTTTAATTCGATTCTCACAGGTCAAGCAAAAAACCAATTTAACAGACATTCGAGTTGAGTATATGCATTAGCAAATAACTAATATCATACGTTTTTCCAGTTTAACAATTTATAAGTGAAGGCATCTTGCTCAAATAGAAACCATTTGTCTTCTTAGAAATGCAGAAAGAAGGAATTATTATTTTTTTAACATTATATTTCACATGAGTTGTTTTTAGGGTTTGCCTGGTGAGAAGGGTATCCAGGGACCACGTGGTTTCCCAGGAGTGAAGGGCGAGTCTGGACTACGGGGACTTCCTGGTCCAGTGGGTCCGAGGGGAGACAGGGGAGAGGAGGGAGTGACTGGACAAACTGGTCCACGGGGAGACAGAGGCAGCCAAGGGGCAAGAGGAGAGAGGGTACGGATGGGGTAAAGGGGTGGCAAAGCGTGGGGGGGTCTCAACTTGCACAGAATGGGATAGGCTTGGGTGATCGATTAAAGCCTAGAAATTGGTATTGGAACATCATAAGAAATTCTGAGCAATCATTTGTAAAACAGCTCAAAATTTGTGAAACCCTCCAACAAGTTCATTCACAGGCCATCAGGGAGTTCTATGAAAATTATAAAGAAACTGTCAGCCAAAAAATGATGTTACAAGAAGTGGCAGAGCGGCCAATTCCCATATGTTTTTCAGTCTCGTAATATCAATTAATCTAACGACAGAAAAAACAATCTAAATCACTACAAGACTGCTCCTATCAGAGCGAAGCCCTGAATGTTCCGGCTGCCTTTTAAGGTTTATGGAGCAGAAATAACATTTAAAAATTTCAATGAAATAAAACAAAATGAAAAAAAAAATCCAAAAATTTAAAATTTTTATGAAAATCATCACTCCACACGCCATATAAAGTACAAAAGGGTAGATTTCGCTCCTAGTAACAAATCAATTATGGCAAATAAGCTCCTTTCAACCAATTTGGAACGATCTCTAAGACGGATTAAAATCTCCGCTTACGCGTTATTAGCGCGAAATATATCGCGCGTTGATTGTCCCGAATTGGCCAAAATGGCAACCGTTAAACCCCCGTAACTCCACGAAAATAGATCACATGTAAAATTCCTTTTCCAAATTTGAGCTCAGGACAACAATACTTTTTGAATGTCGAAATTTGTCTGAAGAAAAAAACCCACCCCGAGCACAATTATTCCGTTATTTTCGTTACGAAAGTCGGAACAAAAAACACTAGATATCAAATTTTCATTACTGGCTGATTACACCAATGACTCTAGACACGACTAAAACTTATGAAAAAAACGACAATTTGTAATCGTCTATTGGTATTTACAGGGCGAGAGAGGTCCCCCCGGCAGGCCCGGCGAGAAGGGAGACATTGGCCCCCCTGGATTGGACGCCCCATGCCCACTTGTGAGTAGCATGCTGAATTTTCATCAATGAAACATTAGCGGAGGGATAGTGCTAGTTTTCTGAGAGAATATAATGGATAGTGCTAGTTTTTTTTGGAAAAAAACAGAATTTTTTTCGATTTGTTTGACAAAACTTTTCCCTACGAGTTTTTGTTTCTGTCAAACTCGTTGTCTAAACAAAAAACAAGACTACTCGTATCAAGGTGAAGCCCTGAATGTACCGACTGCCTTTTAAGGTTTATGGAGCAGTTTTAACATTTAAAAAACTAAATATAAATTAAAACAAAATGAAATTTGTTTTCTAAAATTTGAAACCTTTTACAAAAATTATCCCCCACACGCCAAATTAAGTACAAAAGGATAGAGTTCACTCCTTTTAACAAATCAACTATGGCAAATAAGCTTCTTTCAATCAATTTGGAACGATTGCTAAGTTGGATTAAATCTCCGCTTACTCGTTAAGAGCGCCAAATGTTAATTGTCCCAAATTGGTCAAAATGGCAATCTTTAAACTCTCATAACTGAAACTCTCAACTATAGAAAAATCACCTCAAAAATGACTTGTTAAAAAGTCGAAATTTGTCTGAAGAAAAAAACCCAACCCGAGCACAAATTTTCCGTTAATTTCATTACGAAAGTCGAAATAAAAACGTTATTTTGATCCATTCAACTTGGAATGTTTCCTCGATTTATTTGCCACGTAAGCTCTAATATTACGAAATGTATATGTATTGCTTGTTAATGATCACAAATTGACCAAAACGCATTTTTCAAGCCCTCATAAATTCAAAACAAGACTGCTCATATCAGGATGAAGCCCTGATTGTTCCAATTGTCTTTTGAGGATTAAGGACCAAAAATAACTGAAACACTTCAACAAATTAACTGTAAAATAATTAAAAAAATTTTTTTAATTTGAAAATTTTTCTTTGAAAATTATACCCCAACACGCCATATAAAGTTCAAAAGAATAGATTTCGCTCCTTGTAACAAATCAATGATGGCAACCAGTTTGGAACGATTTCTAAGACGGATTAAATTTCCGTTTACACGTTAATAGTGTGAAATATATCGCGCGACAATTGTCCCAAATTCGCCAAAATGGCAATCTCTAAAGCCCCATAACTTTACGAAAATTGATCATAGGTAAAATATCTTTCGAAGCTTAGGCTCAGAGCAACAATCCTTTTCCAATGACCTAAAAAAGATTTCGTCAAAGATAGCTAGTTAAAAAGTCGAAACTCGTCTGAAGAAAAAAAACCCACCCGGAGGACAAATATTCAGTTACTTTCGTATCGAAATTCAGAACAACAAGTGTTTCTGAATGATTTTTTCTCCTAGCTTGCGAATATTAAACAGAAAAGTTTTGCAAATAATAAATCAGTTCTTAGATGACCAGTTTTCACTAAAAAATCCAGAGTGTGGTCGAAACAAGAAATAGATGGATGAAAGAACTTCTTTAGCTACCAAAAAAATCTCGAGTAAGCACTGGATTAATTTGAAAGAAAATTTGACTTCGCGCAAAATATATACATTTAAGCTGTCAGATCTTAACTGGACGAAGAAGACCAAAAAAGTATATTCAGAAGCAGATTATTGTTACCGTCATATCAATTTTGAAACCATAGTATCAACCTTGGTTTTTGCTTTCTCCTCTTTACCATTGGCCTTGTTATTACTGGAAAATTATAGGGGTAAACAGTTTCATTTGTTTCAGGACAAAAATGGATTCCCGAACTGTGGACGAAAATAAATTCAACATCTGTTACACAGTTTCTGCGGTTTTTCTAGTTCTATCAAACTGAGTGATCTAAGCAACAATTAGTGTTCCAGTGTCACTTTTTCTTGTGGAAAATGTTAACTTGATGAATCAAAGGGACCCCATGTTTGTCTTTTTGTATCATAATTTCAATTTTAAATTGTTTGAAAAAGGTTCTATCAATCATCACAATCGCAGTAGAATAAACTATTGTCGTTTTCCAACTTTCTTGATTAAGTAAAGAAGAATACTATGCATTAACCCCAGGGATCAAGAGTAGCTTTAACCAAGATTTTCTCAAGAGAGAGGATTTTTTTGCAACGTTTTTTAGTCGAGATTTTCAAAAGTTTATTTAGGTCGACCCATTTTTTAAGTCGACCAAGTTGACTTTACTGAACTCTCCGAAAACATTGAAGCCCCTATAATTTTGCGCTAGAGACAAATTTATAGAGAAACATGCCAAAAAAGCGTTTTTAATTATTTTTGAAAGTGTTGACTCAAAATTTGTGTTTTTTCAATGCGCGCAAAACCACCCCCACTCCCACCGACAAAAAAATAGATTTCGCTCCTTGTAACAAATCAATGATGGCAACCAGTTTGGTACGATTTTTAAGACGGAATAAATCTCCGTTTACACGTTAATAGCGTGAAATATATCACGCGACAATTGTCCCAAATTCGCCAAAATGCCAATCTCTAAAGCCCCATAATTTTACGAAAATTGATCATAGGTATAATATCTTTCCAAGCTTAGGCTCAGTGCAACAATCCTTTTAGAATGACTTAAAAAAGATTTCGTCAAAGATAGCTAGTTAAAAAGTCGAAACTCGTCTGAAGAAAAAAACCCACCCCGAGCACAAATATTCAGTTACTTTCGTATCGAAATTCAGAACAACAAGTGTTTCTGCATGATCTTTTCTCCTAGCTTGCGAATATTAAACGGAAAAGTTTTGCAAATAATAAATCAGTTCTTAGATGACCAGTTTTCCCTCAAAAAGCCAGAGTGTGTTCGAAACAAGACATAGATAGATGAAAGAACTTTTTTAGCTACCAAAAAAAATCTCGAGTAAGCACTAGATTAATTTGAAAGAAATTTTGACTTTGCGCAAATATATACATTTAAGCTGTCAGATCTTAACTGGATGAAGAAGACCAAAAAAGTATATTCAGAAGCAGATTATTGTTACCGTCATATCAATTTTGAAACCATAGTGTCAACCTTGGTTTTTTCTTTCTCCTTTTTAATATTGGCCTTGTTATAACTGGAAAAGTAGAGGCGTAAACAGTTTCATTTGTTTCAGGACAAAAATGGATTCCCGAACTGTGGACGAAAATAAATTCAACATCTGTTACACAGTTTCTGTGATTTTTTTAATTCTATCAAACTGAGTGATCTAAGCAACAATTAGTTTTCCAGTGTCATTTTTTCTTGTGGAAAATGTTAACTTGATGAATCAAAGGGACCCCATGTTTGTCTTTTTGTATCATAATTTCAATTTTAAATTGTTTGAAAAAGGTTCTATCAATCATCACTATCGCAGTAGAATAAACTATTGTAGTTTTCCAACTTTCTTGATTAAGAAAAGAAGAATACTATGCATTAACCCCAGGGATCAAGAGTAGCTTTAACCAAGATTTTCTCAAGAGAGAGGAATTTTTTGCAACATTTTTTAGTCGAGATTTTGACCAAGTTGACTTTACTGAGCTCTCCGAAAACATTGAAGCCCCTATTTTGACCGTGATAATTTTGCGCTAGAGACAAATTTGTAGAGAAACATGCCAAAAGAGCGTTTTCAATTATTTTTGAAAGTGTTGACTCAAAATTTGCGTTTTTTCAATGCGCGCTAAACCACCCCCCACTCCCACCGACAAAAAAATAGATTTCGCTCCTTCTAACAAATCAATGATGGCAACCAGTTTGGTACGATTTTTAAGACGGAATAAATCTCCGTTTACACGTTAATAGCGTGAAATATATCGCGCGACAATTGTCCCAAATTCGCCAAAATGCCAATCTCTAAAGCCCCATAACTTTACGAAAATTGATCACAGGTAAAATATCTTTCCTAATCAGTTGCTAATCGGTTGCTAATCAGTTGAAGCATTCTTCAAAAGAATGTTTGAACCAGTCTGCTAAAAGAGCTTTTTAAAAAATGTCAGTCAAACATTTAACCAAAAAGTCCTATGCTCAAAAAATTGTCATGTCAATGACTGGCAGGAAACCGAAAAAAGGTATGCTTTTTTGCTTTTTTTCATTGCCCATTGAAGTACAACATGAAACAATTTTTCCTTAGTTTGCTCCAAGTCTTAGTAGAATTGTCAAAAAGATTCTGTGATAGAAATTACTTCATGCGCGGTTATCATTACCAGAAGTCGAAATTTTGTTTACTATTTTAAAGCAAAAAGAAACGGAGAGGAATTTTATATTTTCCGCTCCCTGTTTTTTTTTTAAGTTTTAGTTATTATTCTAAGCTGTATAAGGAGTGCTTCAAACGTGTTTACTGCTTTTTTCTTATAACTAATTGAATTCTGCCTGTAACCCAACACAAATGACAAAAATCTGGTTACCCTAAACGATGAGCCACAGATGCTTTCAGGATCATGCAAACAAAATGCGCTGCTAGCAAAATGATATTTGCAAAATATCAATATTTTTTTTTGTCCGTGTTGTATGAAAAAAGTCAAAATTTTAAACGTTGCTTAAAACTTTCCAAAGAATGAGTTTTTATAAATAAAAATTTTGAGCTAACTGCCGGGATTGTTTGGTCTGCCAGTAAAAATCGTCACTGTTTCAATGTCAAACCATAATAAATACCTTTGCTGTACTGTTCCACGACAAAAACCAAAAAAACAAGAAAAAAGCAGTATTGCTGCAGCACTGGAACAGTACTGTTACTGTAGTTTGTTTTTTCTGTTTTTTCTTTATTTGCTTGTTTTTTCCTGCAGCTGGTTTTTTTCCTGCATTTTTCGCTGATTTTTTAAAAACAAATACGCATTGCTTTCAAAAAGTTTTTTTTTGAGTTTTTTTTGCAGCAGAAAAAAACAGTAAATTGGATTTAAATTACTAGACCTGCTAGAAGTAAGATATAATTGCGGTGTATTTAGCAAAAATAGTTGAAAAGGAGCAAGCATTGGGAAATAGAGAACTTGAGCTAAATTTGCTTAGAAACGGTTATTTTGGCTTAAAAATGCCAAAAAAAAACAAAAATAAACGGGAGTTAGAAGGCTCGAGCAAAAATTTCTTTTTAAACAGTTGATGCACTAAATATAAACCGGTTAGTAATTGTATTTAGAAGACTTGAGCAAAACTTTTTATCTAAAATTGTTATTTTTTACTAACAGAAAATGGCAAGAAAATTGTTAAAAAGTTGGTTCAGCAATCCCCGCAGCTAAAAGTTAGCTGGAAATTATTAAAACCGCAAATTTTAAGGCAAAAACTGAATGGCTTAGCATTTTTATTTGGTAAGCTTAAGCCAGTCAGTTTTCCAGAAAAACGCCAACTTTTGAAAAAAAAAAATTGAAAAAACTATAGAGGGTTGAAAATATTGATGCAGCCCCCACAGTTGAAATTCTGTGAAAACCACTGAAAAAACATTTTTGTTCGCAAAAAAAAGCAAAATTGGGTATGAGTTTGTAGTTAGAAGTTTTGATCCGTTAGATTTGCTGATATAGGACAGTTTTTGGAGAAAAAAATGAAAAAACAGCGCTCAGCTTTAAAAAATTTATGCATCATCCACAGCTCGAAAATAGCTGAAAACCAAAAAGCAACGCGAGCGCAGTTTTTCTCGCAAAGGGGTAGAAATTAGTTACATTGTTAATTAAAAGACTTGAACATCTGAAACTGCAGGAAATACGCAACATTTTTAAACAATACGGAAAACATTGTTAACTTTTTAAAAATTTGATGCAACACCACAGCTAAAAATCAGCTGAAAACCACTTGAAAACCACTTTCGAAAAACTTAGAAGCTACCTAAACCGATTTTCCTAGTGCCGGGGATTTCAATATAGTGATTAGGAAGTTTCTTCCAATTGCTTGATGCCCAATTTTTTGCACTCGAAGCCAATCATGACCCAGTTTTTCCACAAGTAATTTTCCGAGCTGGTTTGGTGCATGTCATCGACACGAAAGAATTTGAAGGTACGTGTCAGATTAGACTAAATTTCACGGAAATGAACCTGATAAAAATAAGCTCTTTTTAATTAATTTCAAGGATCACTGATAGTGAGGATAAATTGTGACATATATTTTGGTTAGGTGAATTGATGAAGGACACTGAATGATATGCTACATAAACAGGAAGTTTTCCAAACAGTAATAATACGAAAGAAAACCGACGAGAACGTTCTTAGGTTAAAATGTCACTACAAAAAATCAGTTTTTGTACGTAACACTTTCGAGTTCAAAATATTTTTTAAAACTGATATTTTTTAGGCAATTTTTTCCCCAATTTTCTAAGTTGGCTGCAAGGATATTTTATATGCGTCATAATTCAGTGCAATTTTAGAGAAACACTATGGAACAAGCACAAAATCGATTAAAATTGATTCTAAATAAAATAAAATGAAATGATCTTTAATTTCTCCTAAAATATCGAACGGACTTTTATCTTTTGTCTCCTTCCCTTTTGATGTTTTAATGACCTGAAAAGGTCAATGAAATCATACTTAAGATTTTAAATGAATCTTCAACAATTCTTGAGTAAACTGGTAGTACTTTTGAGTTTTGCCTCAACCGTTTCCAGAATTTTTTTTACCAACCTGTAACTTTTGTAACTGCACCGTGAAAATGTTGAAGTTGGTTGAGGATTTTTTTTGCAGACGGTGAACCCAATCTTCTGCTCTAACTTGTTCACTCCTTTACAAATTAAATGGACAGGGACTGAACAGGAGAGAACCAAGTGAGCAGAAAAGACAAACAAGCAAGGAGAACGAATCAACAAAAAGAACCGAAAAGAGCAAAATTACCAATTTGAGAACCTTAACTAACTTTTCATTTCTCAACGTGACTAAACCAATTGAACAGAGATGGAAAATGAGAGAACTGAATGAGCAAAAAAAGACAAAAGAGCAAAAAGGGGAATAAATCGGAAAAAAACAGAAGACAGCTAAGTATTTTTCGATTTTTTTTCTGAAAGTTGCTTGAAGTTATTGCAGTTTTTCTGTTAACCACCTCGACAAAATTTTTCAAT